CAGATATCAACAATTCTCAAACCATTTCAGATATGTGTAAATGCAGATATCTACAATGACATTTCTACATGAGGAAATTCCTTTGTTGATATCAACAATTCAATTTAGACTAGTTAAAAAGAAAAATGTTAGATATGTTGGGCCACGCAGGCTTAGGACAGTCAAACAATGGACTTGGGCCTGCACCTCTGTAAAAGCCTCATTTGAGTTATTCACTGAGATCACAAAGAGGCCTAAAAGGACTCCCTGCGGTACTTCACACCGCAAAGTAAGGGGGGGAACGGAACCTCTATCTCCTCATTAGAGGGGACCTGAGGTAGACCCCCCATGGAGCAGACCAGGCTACAAAAACTCCAAGACTTCCATTGCTCGACCTCTTTCCACGCGCTGACTTCTAGTGCTCGGAGACACAAGCTCACCTTCTGTTTCCTGCAACAATCTTCCTTTGTTTTAAGTTTTTTTGGCGTGCAGGTAATCCGCGGCCGGCAGTGTTCTAAATTCCGAGCTCGGATTGTCCAGTGAACGCATCTCAGTTTCTCGGAGAGCGTCAGACTATAACAGATTATCAGAAAGATAACGGTTTTATTCCGCCCTGCAACGAAAGGACATCAAAGGACATTTTTCCACTGGACGGAGAACCAACGAAGCCGTTCTCGCCGTAAGGGACCCTCGCCGCCATCAGATGCCTCTGCACCAGGACGGACAGAAGATCTGCTCCATCGCCAGACTCTTTTCCCTCACCAATTGCGGACAAAGCGATTCACAAGTGAGGCTTAATTAGGTCTGGGCAGAATTAGCTTTAGAGAGTGTTTTTAACAATTGTTGATCGAAGCTGAAACTGTAATTTTTATCTTTGTTGGACCGCTACGTCCTGAGTTTTACCTGTTTAAAACTCTTGTTGTTTCGGACCGCTGCGTCCTATATGTGTTTAGCGTAACAGCGTTATGACCGGGTATTACTCTTCTGATCAGAAAGGCCAGTGTAAGCCGTATTAACCTGAATTCGGCTATTGGTTTGTTTCTGTGAATGAAGGGAATTACTCCGAGTTGTGGCGTGGGAGTCGGACTGTGATCCGGCCTCTTCAGGCACGCATTTCTCTTTTATTCTCTTTTATCCTCTTTTATTTCCCCTTCTACGAACATACACACACACATATTCCTGTGTAAACGTACATCTGTAAACCAACTCCACCACCGCGCCATTACGCACAGAGATCTATACACTCGCGGCTATCCAGACGCCTCAGAGACACAGATCGTGTAGGGCCGAACTCGGTCTCTTTTAGACATTAAGGCCACATTTAGGTCTCTGTTAGGTGTGCGCCATCGGAAGGGCGACCACGTGGGACGAAGTAATCTTCCCCCACCTTTTCTCTCCCTTTTATCCACACACGCATGCACCCAGGTCTTTGTTAGGTTTGCGGCATCGTGAACGACCACGTGGGTACGAAGCCATTTCCCCCCTTTCTTCTTCCCCCTCTCTCTCTCTATCTCTCACACACACACACACACACACACACACACACACACACACACACACCACACACACACACACACACAAACCTACATTCACACCCCTTCCACAAGCCTTTGCTTGATAATGTTTGTTGCTTAGATTAGTTTATAATAGTTATTTGTTTAATTAAGTTAATTGATTTTGGATTGATGTTGCTTTGTTTAAATAAATTCTGTTATAATTTAAGAGAGCAGTTGTTTGTGATTACTGGTGTATTTACATTGTGATATAAGCTGGGTGCGAAGGCTTTGTGTACGGATTTCAATCAATTTATTAAATATAGTTATTCATTATCAATAATATTAGTAATTAAATAACTAATTTAAGACTGATTTGATATTTTGGTTATATTTACCTGATTACAGGTTGGTGCCCCAAAACGAGATTAAACATAGTTTAATGATATTTTATTTATATTATTAACAATTAAGTATAATGATTAAAGAATATAACCAAAGTTGACTTGATACAACCCCAACAGATATCTCTAATATAATTGTTACACATAAAAATGTAATTACAGATATCAAGAATTGCATTTCAGATATCTGAAATGCAGTTTTTGATATCTGTAATTACATTCTTTACATTACATTCAAGATATCAATAATATCAATGATATCTGTAATGTAAGAACAATTGTAGATTATCACTAGTAACAATTGAATTGTTGATATCTAGAATTAACATTTTTACAAGTGAGAATTGAGTTGTAAATATCATGAATTAGAATTGTGATATGTCAAAATTATCATTATGGATATGTCGATTTTGAATTTCAACATGTAAAATTGAATTCAGTGTTTCCCCTACCATTATATTAGGGGGAGGCTTGATCAGCTTTGAGTCCGATTGGAAACACAGGTGCTGACAGGCATTGCACAGAGGCAAAGCACAACATTGGTGGCAGTTCATGAGAGCTCTAATCAATAGAAACCATCTTAAAAGTCGCCGTTATCAACAAAACCATCACCATCACCATCATCAACATCATTAATAATGAGACCATCATCCTCATCATTAAAGTCGTAGGTATTCATGAAAGAGCTGGGTCTAAAGGTGCAAAAGGGACTGTGCAGATCGAATGGAGTTTGGTAGTTCGTTCCACCACCGGGGGGCAACAGAGGAGAAGAGTCTAGTTAGCATCTTAGGACCCTGTTGTGAAGGTTGGATCAGACGCCTTTTATTGGCAGAGCATAGTGGGCGTGAGGGAGTGTAGACCTGGATTATAGAGTTTAGGTAAGGGGGAGTTTTGTAAGCGAGCGGCAGCATTTTAAACTTGATACAGGCAGGGAGCCAGTGTAAGGAGGTGAACAGCGGAGTGACATGTGCTCTTTTAGGAAGGTTAAAGACCAATCGTGCTGCTGCATTTTGTATCATCTGCAGGGGTTTGATAGGAGCATAGGTGCATGTAGGAAGACCTCCCAGTAGAGAGTTGCAATAGTCAATGCGTGATATCACAAGAGCCTGTACCAGGAACTGTGTAGCGTGTTCTGACAGGTAAGGTCTGATCTTCCTGATGTTGTACAGGGGCAAATCGACATGACGGGCAATTGAGGCCAATTGAACCTTAAATGTTAGCTGGTCATTAATCATGACACCCAGGTTCCGGGCAGACTTTGTGGGCATGAAGTTTGGTTGTTCCAAGCTGGATATTGATCTGTGGTTGCATAGAGGGACTGGCTGGGATGATAAGGAGCTCAGTCTGTGAAAGGTTGAGTTGAAGGTGGTGTTCATTCATCCATTTAGAGATATCAGCAAGGCATGATGAGATTATTGCTGAGACTGTAACATCGTCTGGCGGGAATGATAGGAAGACCTTTCTGCACCTCATTGCTCTATACCTCTGTCCTGGGGGAAGTAGGGTGAGGTGAGTGTTCAGTGGATGTGTGATGTCCTGTTCTATTGAGGTTGTAAGGCGTGTGATGGCCCTGTTATTGAGTTCTGTTAGGTTGGGTGTGGGGAAACCGATTATTCTGGCAGCTGTGGTTGTGATGCGTGTGAGTATGGCCTTGTTTTTCCACAGGTAACTTGTTAAAGAAGCAGGTGGAACAGTACAGTAAGATGGGCTGGATCATGCTCTGATATAGCAGCAGGAGGAGATGGGGGCAGCATAGAGTCCTTTCAGTTTTCGGAGGGCTGGTGAAAAATTAATTGTAGATATCTTTAATTAGTATTGTTACTAGTGAAAATTACATTGTGTATATATCGGCTTGGAAGTATAACATGTCAAAAAGCAAATATTGATATCTGCAATTGCTATGATGGCTAATACTTTAATGTTGAAATGGCTTGCCATACACTCCAAGGCTGCTTCCAAGACATTAATTTATGACTGATAACTTGTGCAACAATTAAAACCAGAATAACTCATCCATCTAAACAGTCTCAAATAAGAGAAGAAGAACAAAAATCAGTTTGAAAGATATGTTGCTTTTCCAGGATTGTGAACCATAGCATACACCGAATAATAGACAGACAAAATTGTCTTTTCTTCTGAATGCATTAACCATTGAGATTAGCAAAAGTATTTTAGGTCGACTTCTATAAATTTGTTTGAGTACCAATTTACATTTCCAGGTGTGGAAAAGCTTGGGATTCTGATACCAGGCAGGACACATTTAGTAAAGCAAAAATGTTTTTTAATATTCTTAAACTATAACATAACTTTAATGACACACATGCTAATCTTGCTGTAAGCAAATCAGACAAGAAAAACAAAGTATGTCACAATATATATCTTTATTCATTACACATATTTTACATTACAAAACACATTACTTTTATGTCTTCAAAATCTTTAGTAAAAAAAAAAAAAATCAGCAATGGACCTGTGGCTTCTTAACAAAGAAAGAAAGAAAGACAGTAGTTTCATACATACAGCAGTAAGTAATCAGCAAATCATAATTTTATAAAACATTCAGCTCGTGCGACAGATTGAGGCTTATTGTTTTCCAAAAGATCAAATAAGCCTGTCTGTGCCAACACCTATTCAAGATACCATTCATCAGGCTGAGAGGTTTCTAGTTCAGATCAGCTGCAGGTGTCTGTTCTCCTCACACAGATGAAAGGCACTACAACATTGCATACATTATTGCTCCAGCCGCCTGCAACACAGAATGTTCCCCCATTAACATTACAAAGGTATGACACTGATTGTTAATGTTTCTTCAGTGAAAAAGCAAAGATAGTTTTCCATGTAGTATTATAAGAGACAGAGAAAATGCAATGACCTGAATAAATGTAAATTTGCAAAGTACCATTAAAGTATTTGTAAAAGTTTATATTTTACAACCTAAGCATGAAATTCATGTTGTTCTTTTTCACAAAAGATCCTTGACTATACAACTGAAGTTGCATCAGTAATGGTCTATCCAAATCTTTTTCGAAAAAAAGTGTTGCAGTTGTGTAATTAAAGTGAACTAAATTGTGATTTAATTCTGCCAAACTGGCAGCAACAATGTGAGGCCAGACTCAAGTTTATAAAACCTGAAAGGTCAAAACACTTGTACATGTATAAAACTATTACTGTAATCCAGAGGTATTATAAGCTTAAATGAAACTTTAAGTGACAGATGGAGGTGTTGTGACTCACCTGTGGTCCGGAGGTAAATGCACGGGTAGCGCTGTAACTGTTCTGAGAGCCAGTTGTGTAGCTGAAGCGGCTCTGGTCTACCACCTCCAGTTCTGCACACATGAACACACAGTAAATTAAACCTGCCGCAGACATCTGTCTGTCCATAGATATATAGTACAGTATTGTAGTACAGGATGTTCAGTGATCTGTTACACACACTTTGATTAATATATTATATTTTTTATTATTTATGTATGATAAGCTAATGACCTGGAAGTAGTATCCTCCCATCCAGGCGTCTGGCTGCCTCCACGGCTGGTGAGCGACTGGAGGAAAGTATATTCAAACAAATCACTGGCAGACGCCATGGTAGCTCCTCGACCGGCACAGTAGGACTGAGACACACACACACACACACACACACACACACACACACACACACACACAAAAAGGGATTCACTTGTAGTTTTAAGCAATTCAAAATGTAATGAAATCAAAGTGCATAGACACCGATAGATAGATAGATAGATACTTTATTGATGCCGAGGGAAATTCAAAGCAATTACTATTCATAAAAGATGATTTTCAAAAGCAATCTCACTCTACCACGTGTGACCAGTAGGGTAAAAAAAAAAGGTTTAAAAAACGTACTGTCGGGGAAAATCTTTAAAAACAAAAACACAAAAAAATGTAATCAGGCATATCAGCAGGCTGCAACTCCTGATGGGAGCAACAAACTCTTCCTATAAAACAAATCCGTCCCAGTTTGGGAGTAATAAGTGAGGTTATGGTCCTCACCAGGGTAGAGAAACAAACAGACACCTTCACACACACATGTCCCATTGATTTTTGCCAATAAAGCTTTGAATTGAACATAGTTAATTACCTCAGCGCTGCTCCAGGTATAGGATGAGCTCACAAAATAATAGCAGTTGCTCCTGTAACGTTCCCAACCAGATGGACAACTGAAGAAACGTTCTGTAGAGGACAAAGAGAAACAGCACATCATCACTCTGACAGAGAAATCAGAGAATCAAAGTGAAGAGGAAGAGTGAATATTTAAAGATAGCAAACCTTTAATTGGAGAATCGATCTCTGCAACATCTAACATGGCAGCATATTCTTCTAAAAGTAGAGACAAAAAAAGAGTCATGTTTGGATCAAAATATAATTGACTCAGGATGCAGACAATCATGTGTTTAGCTTTTTACCTTCATTTATATGAAGTTCATCTTCTTCCACTGAGAGAGGAACAGAAAACAAGAGTTGTGTTAGAGAGCGATTCAGAGAACTCGCACACAACACAATGAGTCAGATATCAACTGTGTTTAATGTGTGGGAGCAACTTACACTGATTGTCCTTCTGCAGCTCTGGAACTGCAGCTGCAACATCTGCAATAGCTTCAAAATCTCCAACAATTTCAACATCTACAACAGTGCCGACATCTGCAACAGGTTTAACATCTGCCAAATCTGAAAGGAAAGTCATCTCTCATTTATTTTATTTCCACTATTATTCTGCTTTTAACAACTGGTTTTTAATAAGTTTGTTCAACCATTGCATGCAAAACATCACCCAAATGATCTTAAACCAAGATAAATCTCAGCTTTTATTCTGTCTTTCAATTTGTATCTCATTTGCTTTCTCTCAAACATTGCTGAAACAGACTTTTTTCACATGTCATCATGCCTTTTTCTACCTTATGACCCTCTGTAAAAAGAACTCCAATCCACTCTGCTCAAACAATTTTTTTATAATACAAATATGTGAAAGATTTGATTCCTGCGGCTGTAATGTTTGGAAAAACTCTGAGGCAAACATAAAGAGTGTTAGAAAAGAAACTCAGTTTAAAATAGTTTTAATGCATCAACCTTCTTGGATGTGTGTGTGAGACAACCCTGCCAGGTCACTGGGTGTCTTTGGCTTTGCTGCTGTTTTATTTTGTTTAATTTCAGTAAACCTGTAACTTTGTGACTATCTACCTCGGATCAGGAGCATTATACCAAATTAATCACACCTGTGTATGTGACGTCACCCGCTGCACATTATGTGTGTGACGCGCACCCACACACTCTCCCTCTTCTATCATCTGGGAAGTAAAGTACAATGCCAACTTTCACCATCAAGTGACAGGGGATGGTTACAGGTTGCCTTTCATTCATAAAACTGTGTCTACATATGTAAACATTAGTTTTGTGTAAGTGTGCGTTCTGGCTGGAGGCTCATCAGCAGGATCAGCTGCAACTGGGCCTGGTGCAATCTGTCTGCAAAGAGCTGCTGGTTTCTCTTATTCACCCTCTGACTCCCTGATTCTTCTGGCTCTGGTTCTGGTCGACTGGCACTGCTCTGGTTTGGAGAACCATCATCTGACAATGACTCTTTAGCTTTTGTTCTGTTTAGCACATACACATTAACATACATTCCCCAATGACCTACACGACACTATGGATTTATCGTTGCCTTTTGTAAATAAAACTACTTTTTGACCTTACCAGCTTGTTTTGTCTCCCTACTTTGTCACAATCTATGAGCAAGGTTGTCACAGTTTGAGTGAACATAATTAATATTATAGTTCTTGTTTCCAATCCAAAAAGAGGAAAATCTGTGTATCTTTTACAAACATCTATAAGAACAAGTTGTAAAATTAACAAAATGAACTTACCCGCTGCAGCTGTGAGAGCAAGAACTGAAAGGAGCAGGATAGCTTTCATGTTGATGATGAGGAGGAGGATGATAAAGTGACTGGAGGCCTGCTGGGAGTCAGAGACAAGTCAGTTACAGAATATGTTAACATGAACAGTCAGACAGAGAGAGAAAGAAGGCAGCTGTCTTACCTGTCAGTTGAATATCTGCTGATGCTCAGGTATCAGGTGAGTGATGAAGAGGAGGTTGTCCGGCTCTTTATATACACACACCTAAACCTGAGCTTTGACCTTGGGCTGAACGTGAGTGTGTTTGTTTCAAAGTGTGTTCAATCAACGTGCCCAGTTTGCGAGAATCGAGGCCAATAAGGAAGCACTGATAGAAACATTCTTCTGATAAATTACTGATAATAAAATATGTTCCAGCACTAATGATAACGAAGGATTCTGTCTGACATGATTCTGACTGACACACTTTCGTCCGCACGTACAGTGCTATTGGAAAAAGACTTGATTAATGATTAATGTGTCATTATTAAACACTCTGAAAAAACTCAAAGCTCAGTAAGTGCTAAGTGAAATGAAAGTAAATGCAAAGTCAAAGTAGAACATTTTAAACAACCTCAGTTGACTCCTGGCTGTACAGGTGTAAAACACATGATAAAGAACAAATTTGCATAAAATGATCTATGAAAAATAAAATTAACAGATGAATATATATCTGGAAGGATGGACTGACTGATATGCTTGAGATGACCAGGGTTCAAGGATTCGGATGGTTTGGTCGAGATGCCTCGTCTGGCTGCTGTGAACGCTGCACTGATGCAGATTAAGGAAATAATAGTGTCCCAGACGTGATGTCTAAGAAATGCAGGATCTTGTGAAAATGTTTACCATATTCCTGTCTCAGTGATGTAGTGCGGTTCGTGAGGTAACGCCTGAGCTGCATACTTAGTGTTGATTTGTTTTATCAGAGGCTTGTATGGGCTTGTATGGGAAAGATGTAGGTGGGGTAGAGGTTCCCAGCTGATCTGTTTTACTTTGATGGAGCGTGAATATGAGGGACTCTGAAGTGTGGATGGTAATGTCAGATAGCTTAGGATGGTGGGATGGATTGCAGACGGATGAAGTTGAAGGAAATTCAGAGCATCCGAGGAACCCAGAAAGCTATAAGGAACATGGATTCGAGAGTGGAATTGATTGTAGGGGGTGAGTAGCCTGAACGTAATGTATGGATGCAGAGGCTGAGAAGGTCAGAGGTGAGTGGAAGGTGCTTGATAGCAACCGCAGGTTCCTGTTTCCTTAGACTTTTGATCAACATGATTAAGTAGTAATGAGAGACAGAAGTGCAATGGGGTTGCAGTAGCTGATTGGATAAAAAAGTTCATTCTGGCTAGATAGGTCTGAATAGTGGAGGACCAGATTTATGGATGGCATGAGCATGGATGATGAAGTTGTAGATGAACGCAATGTCCAAAGATGGAAAATATGACTGGTATGCAGAGTGATATGCTTTAAGCATTTCCAGCTAGTTAAATAGGCAGGCGATGTACTGGCAGCTGTTAAGAATGGCTGAAAATGGTGGGACTGATGAGGGATGCAAATCTGAATTTCTGAAAGGAGAATAGAGACAATGAATTAGCGATGGTGTCGTGGTAACCCAGAATGTGGGCTGCCCTGAGGATGAACTGGTGATGTGATGAGAGTGACCTTAGTCAGCGCAGAAACAACATGATGGCTGGGGAATGAAGACAGCCTTTGTTGATGATTTTGACAACGGCTGTGTTATCTGAGTGTAGGAGTATGGATTTATTTGACCATTCATGCCCCAAAAGTATTTCAATGATGATAATCGGGTAGAGCTCATGAAGGGCAGATGAAGGAGTATGGGATTCAGAGTTCATAGTATGTATTTCTGGGGCCAGATGGAAGCGACCATCTTCCTCCATAGTAGCCATCAAAGCCTATGGAAGGGACAGCGTCTGTATGAAGCTAAATGTCTTCTGGTTGGGTTTTGGAGTTGTCATAGAAGAAGGAAACGTTGTTCAAGGAAGACAGGAAATATTGCCACGTGTGCATTTCCTATTTTACAAGTGTCGTTAATGAGTACTCTGTCATGGATAGAGGGGATGCTGCGGCTTTGTCAGAAAGGTAAGGGAGAAAGGATTTAGCCTGAGGAATAATGCGAATAGCATGAATGAGGTGGCCAAGAAGAGGAGGGGAGTGCTTTGCAGGATTTATTTTCTTCAGGCAGTGATGGCTAGAAGGAAATTGAGTCGAGGGTGATACCTAGAACTCGATGGAGGTACCAGACCCTACAGTTTTCAGTTCAGAAAGCGGGACTCCAAGCTCTGAGAAGGTTTTTGAGAAGGTGAGGCGAACAGAAAAATAATATGATCCTTTCCAGCATGCCCCAAAGTAGCGC